AACTGAGGTTGACCTTGATCTTCTAACTTTTCTGCCATTACCAGTTAAGTGTTATGATGACTGGGATGTACCACCACCCACCATTCACATACTTTACAGGACTGAGAGCACAGCTTTGTGCATACTAGACAGTTCTGCTACCAGCAGTGCTACATCTCTAGCTTACTGTTAATTGTTTTTGCTTCTTGTACTATAAGTCCTTCATGTCATGAGATATGAAAATATACAAAATGCTATGTAAACTGCAAATCTAATCAAAATGAATTATTAAAAGGCATGGGGTAATGGGCCAGTGTGGAGAGTGAACAGAATGCATAGACGATCCCAACCCATGTAAATGTGAAGGTCATTTCTTGGCTCATGCAGTCATTACTTATAAGAAGGAAATAAAGAGATAAAATGTCTTATTTTGGGGAAACAGGCTGACACATTTCATATCTCATGAAGTAAATAGTTAATCACTTTGTGGAAACCAATTTATGAGTTCTTTCAGCAGACAAGGTCTATAAATCCCCTCCCCTAGTAATAATTTCCTGTTAACTAATCTTTAAAAATAACTAGTGGTTATTTTGAAAGGGGTTTTTGTGTTGTGGTCATGAAATGAAATATATTTCTTGACACTTGCAGTTTCCTGTTACCATCAGTTGATCTGCAGAGGAGCCACCTCCATATAGTGGCCAGGGAGGAGGGCTATGGACTTTCACTCTCAATGTTCCCTACCAAACAAGATCCTCCCTACAGTCCCCTGGCTGTGCAGTGTCCCTGGTAAGTGGGAGCTTGTCCTATATGCAGTCAGGCATGACAGGGATGGCTTACCATGTCCACCACAGCAGGCAGGTGCTGACCAAAGATAACACATAAACAGGATGTAATCAGCACAGCCCCAGTTCACAGTCTGCAAAGGTTTCTGTTTGCTGACCACATAGCCTCTCCTTACCCGAACAAGGCAAGGGCAAGGGTAACAGAAATTCTCAGATGTATTTCCAGGTTTAGCAGAGCCCTCACAAAGGTCCAATGAACCCCCTTATGCACTAACATCTTCATCAAAAGTTCTTTGGGTTACAGTCACCCCGGTGTGCACAGGTCTCTGGAACTCAGTCATCTGCTGAAGCTGCAGTGTGTCCCCTGTGACCAGGACCTCTCCATGTCACAAGCTGCTCTTCAGAGAGCACCACTGCCTCACACAGTTGAAAACTGCAAGGAAGATGCATGTGAAATATTCTTTATATGATTATATAACTGTATTAATTCAACTGTGAACAAAAAACATAGCCACTTTTGAAACAGATGTATCTTTGCTCTGGAAATTGTTATTGAGTACGTTAAAGCTGTAATGAAATGTTTCTTCTAAAAAATAAAGAAAAAATCCCCCAAATATATATGCTTTCTCTACCTTAAAAATATTCATTATATGAGAAAAAGATGGAGGAAAATGATAACTGTGATGACTGTGGGCATGTTAATTATGTGAGTGGATAAAGGGAGGAGCCCAGAATTTTCCTCTCTATTATCAGCCATCTAGGGAAAGGAATTCAACTAACTTCAAGCCCATCAGTGCTCTGAGTATAGACAACACCAGGCTCAAAATGTTAAGTCAGGAGGATGGGGCACCCAGAATTTGGGGTGAGAATGTGGGCAATGCCCTTGGGGATGGGGTCAGGACATTTCTCAAAGGACAGGAGTCCACAGAGACATCCACATGTGCACCCCTTTTCCCCCCAAAGACTCTACAGTGGTCAGGTCCAGCCCAGAAATCTTGGGGGCAAATCTTGGCACCTGCCCCCAGTGAAGATTCTCCCTGAAGTTGTGGATGGAGTCTGCCCATTTTTTATGCCCAATCTCTTCATTCTGTCTTCTGTTCCCTTCACTGTGTGGGCTGGGGCAGACAGGCAGCCAGAGCACTAGGTGGCCGTGGTAGGGCCTTTACTGGAAAGCCTGTGACATGGGGTCCTTGGATTTGCTTTCTTGGTTAGATGGAGGCCTGCTGTTCCAAGGGATGTTGGTGCCAAGTGCAGGAGAGTTGTTAAAGCTGTCATCTTGGTTGTTGGGGACAACAAACTGGGTGTTCTATAGCCAAGCGCTAAGCCTCTGATCCTGGTCCATCCAGGAACTCGCTGCCCATCAAGGTGGGATCCCATATCACCACAGTGCCCCTCAGCCCAGGGCAGCCAATATCCTCATGGCACTCATACCCCCTAGAGGTTCAACACCCCACTCCCTCTTCATACCTGTGCTGGGTAGCTTCAATTGTAAACTTGAAACACCTAGTTGGAAGGAATCTCAAATGAGGAATTTCCTCAGTTGGACTGGCCTGCGGTCATGTTTGTGGCACATTTTCTCTTGATTATTGAGCGATATGGGAGTGCACAGGGCACTGTGGGTGGTGCCACCCCAGGGAAGGTGTTCCTGTGCTGTATAAGGAAGTAGGCTGAGCTCAGGCCAAGGAGGCAGACCAGTAAAGAGAGTACCTCCATGACCTGTGCTCCAGGATCCTTTTCTAAGTGCCTGCCTTGGCGTCCTTGATGATGGATGGTGAGCTGCAAGGCAGGGGAACCCTTTCCTCCCCAGGCTAATTTTGGTCAGTATTTCAACTCAGCATTAGAAAGTTAACTAGAACAGACATTGGTATTAAGAGATGAATATTGCTGTGTTGGACCTGATCACTAGCTATCTGACGATTGTGGATGGTTTTTGTGCTTTGGACTGGATAAATGCTTGGAAATCAGTGAGATATTTTGTAGGAAATGGAGGTGCATACAAGGGAGGCTCTATCAGGGATATGTGTGATATATTTTCAGTTATGCTTATTGGAAGTGAAAACTTTTGTGCTTTCCTGGGATAATCCACACTGACCAGCTGAGGCTGAAAAAATCAGCCATGAGTAACAGGAGATCCACATCATTGACTGAAATCTTCTGGAAGTATTTCCTAATGGTGCACACAGACACTATGGTCCAGAGGGGTCCAAGGCTGCATATCATCCTGGCAGCAGAACTTGGCAATGTGTAAGAGTCTCTCAGGTGTTACTGGTGTTGAAAATGTGAAAGGTCATGGAGAGAATCTTTGCAACCAGAGAGGCTATTGGTGAAGGTGAAGGCTCAGTTGCAATAAAGACCCCAGAATACTGGAGATATCAGAACAAAGGTAAACACACCAAGGGCAAAGTCAGAGAATTGCAGCTTCCCATAACCTACAGAGCCCAGAAGATTGTAATTGAATCCCAGATGTTGAACATTCAGCTGTGTCGCTAGACCTTAGTGTGGCTTAAAGTTTTTCCCTTTTGAAAGAAGTCAGCATGTAACTTATTTTGGATTTTACAAGAGTCCAGAATTGATAGGCTTTAGATATTCTTAGAAAGAAATATTAAGCTTTAAGAGTGTTTGAAATTTTTCCCATAAGCAAAGTATTATTAAAGATTTTATTTGTACACATATGGTCACAATTTTTCCTTAAAAAGATTGTTGGGAAATGTACATAAGGCCACTTGTAAATGTACATCATGTTAGTGTTATAATGTCTTATGTTCAGAGAAAAACATGTTATCATACAGATTTACTTTTATTGGGAGTAGGCTAATCAAAAATAGAGTCCTCTTCTGTACAAAAAAGTCATATCACATTTAAAGACAGAAAAAGCATTGGCCTCCATGGTAACCAAATCCTGTGATCCAAATCCTAGCCTGTCCATATTATTAACAGAGTTAACAATTATGTTATAAAAATGTTTTCCACAGTAATTAAAAAGAAAGCTTTTCATACTTCTGAAACCATATAAAGATAAAAAAATTTTAACAACCACTCTCGATTTGGTGAAATAAATTTACATTATACCAAACTATGTTTCCAGGTAAAAGAGGGCAGAGATGTAAATGTACACTAAAATGCAAATATTTCCCCAGAAATAAAACAAATTCCATTTAGAGCATGAAGATTTACAAATGTACACCTGTACAACTAATGAAGAGTGTCACTACTAAATTAACAAGGCTTGTAATTTTATACTTTGAAAATGTTTGAATGTTTAAGGGCTGTGAGAAGTCTAAAGTTGTACTGTTTAATGTTATAATACTAATATTAACATAAGATCCTGGGGATAAGAAATGGAAAGGTAGCGGTTGAAAGTTCACAGTGGGTTCATTGTGCTGTAGAGATTCAGCTGTCAGCTTGACGCAGCTAGTTGGAGGTAACCTCAATTGAGAAATTCCTCCATTGGACCAGCTTGTGGCCCTCCCTGTATGTGGGGAATTTTCTTGATTATACAGTGATATGGCAGAGCTCAGTCCACTGTGGGCAGTGCCACCCCGGGGTAGGTGCTCCTGTGTTTTATAAGGAAGAAGGTTGAGCACAGGCTAGAGGAGCAAGCCAGTAAGCAGAGTACATCCACAGTCCAGATTCTTTCCCAGAATTCCTTCATTGGCTTCCTTTGATGATGGACTCTGCTTTAAACCAAATAACCATTCTCTCAAAGTCAGTTTTGGTCAATGTTTTACCGCAGCGATAGAAATCTAACTAGGAAAATGTCCAAGCTTAAAGTGACAACTCTAGCACTTTTGGCTCCTGAAATATTTCCCTCTAAATGACACCAGAGCATCACATCCCATTGGATTCTAGTAAGAAGTATCAATCTGCTCCATAGCTCCCTAACCCATCTCCCTCAGATTTTATGGGCTCCTAAACATGTCCACATGTAAGAGAGGGAGTAGATCATAACTATATAGGGGGGAAATGTGTATGTATGCCCATATTTGCATGTTTCTACACAGGCAAACATTCAAGACTGCATGTCCCTCCATTAGTGTGAGTATGTGTATGTCTGATGGTGTGTTTCCCACACTATCTGTCCTGAACATCTTTATGTTCTCATGATTGGTTCTGTCTATTTATGCAGTGTGTGACTTTGACTGAGCCTATGTGGTCACTGCCATGAATGTATCTGCCAAGAATTATATCAGTCAAAGGAGAAGCTCGTGTTGGCTCTAGAGTATATGGGGAACACTGTTTAAAAATATGGAATGCTTCAAGACTTTGCATGTCATCCTTGCACAGGAGCTAAGCTAATCTTCTTTGTAGTGTTCTAATTTTAGTATATGTGCTGCCAAAGCAAGAACTAATCATGTCAATTTTTACACTTAAAATGCAGATATGTACGAAAATCATCAACTTATACAACTCTAAATATGCTGTTACTTATCAAGTCTAGTAGTTGATTTGCATTTGAATTTTCTTCGTTGCACATTCATATTTGTGAGAGACTATGGAAGAGCCGGTGGGTTGTAGAACACTTGTGTAACAGGCCCGAGACTCTACTTCTAAAGCCACAAAATCCATCTGCTGGTGGGCACCTGCCACCAGTGAGGGTCTTCACAGTTCCCAGTGATGTGCTGTGTTTCTCCTTAGTGTACATCACTGTGTCCAGTGAGAAGGACTAAACATTGTGAGAGAGTCTTTGCATTTTCGTATCTGTGACTGACACAGAAAAACAAATGCTCACAGACTATTTTTTTCCAGTGGTGTCTCACTGGCCTGTAACTTGCCAAGTTGTATAGGCTGGCTTTCATTGAGCTCTGGGGGTCTGCCTCACACTGTCTCCCTAGCTCTGAGGATACTGTGGTATAATATATATCACCACTGCTGATGTCAAGGTATACTACAGAACTCTAGTTACAAAAAGCACATGGTCCTTGCACAAACATATACACAGAGATCAATGGAATAAGTGGCGGATCCAGATACGAGTACAAACAACCACAAAACTACAGCTACATGATCTTTGACAAAGATGCCAAAAATATATACTGGATTAAAAAAACAGCATCTTCAAGAAATGATATTGGGAAACAGGAATTTCAATATGGGGAAAATGAAGCTAGTTCCCTACCTCACACCTGGACAAGAATTCAATATAAGACATGCTACCCTAAAATTTCTAGATGTAAAGGTGGGAAGTTCACTTACGTTTATAGGCACAGGTGCAAGCTTTCTGTATAGGAATGTTTTAGTATAGGAAATAAGACAACCATTTAGCAAATAAGATCGTATGAAGCGAAAAAGCTACTGAACAGGAAAGGAATCTGTCAGTTGCCTGTGGAGGCAGCCAATAGTATGGAAGAAAATCCTTGTCACCTATAAATTTGACAAAGGATTAGTGTCTAGATAATGTAGAGAACTAAGGAGAGTAAACATTAAAAAAAGCAAACAACCCAATTAAAAATGAGCAATGTAACTGAAGAGAAAAAAATCTGTAAAGGAGAATTACTTATGGCAAGAAACACCTAATGGTGTGTTCAATATACTTGGATATCAGAAGAATGCAAATTAAGACTGTGTAAAGATTCTGCCTCACCCCAGTCAGAAACCCACCACTAGAAAAACAAATGGCATGTTTCTATTGAAAAGGGGACACTTAGGCACTGTTGACAAAATCTGAATTAGTGCAACTGCTTTGGAAAGCAGTCAGGAGATTTTTCAAGAAATCTAGAACTAGAATTAACATATGACCCAGCCATACCACCACTGTGCATATGCCAAAAAGAGTCTATGTCTTATCTCAGAGATGCTTATAATCCATGTTCTTTGCTACTCTGCCCATGAGAGCGAGGAAAGGAGCCAGCTCATGTATCCATCAGGTGCTGGATGGTTAGTGAAAATGGGTATGTAAACACAGTGCGTTAGTACTCAGCCATCAGGAAAACATGAGACCATGAAACTTGCAAGAATCGATGAAACTGGGAAAATTATACTTACTGGGGTCGTCCAGGCCACAACACATAACAGAAATCTGGTTATCTTGGGAAAGTTCTTCTCTTACTCTGGGCTGAGAAAACTGATGTTCGTACAGCTTCAAAGGTCAGAGTGTGTACAAGGCTCTCTTCTCAAGTCTGCTGTGTGGATAGACCCACAGGGAGCATGTACTGGATCTGTCTCGTCCCGAGGATTTTGTTGTAGAAATTTATCTCTCATCAGAAAGTGCAGATCAGGGTCTGCATCACAAACTGTCACTCACATCAGGTATTTGTGTCGTGATTATGACACATTCTACAGCAAGTAGCAGTAGAAGATATTTAATCCTCTCTATCTGTTCTGTGGCTTCTAATGTCACAATTCTGCTTTTTAGCTCATCACTTGATCTGACAAATTAACAAATTAATCATTTTATGTAGACTTCCATCCTTTGTCCATGCATCATCTGTTCATTTATCCCTCCATCCATCATCCACTACACTTCTATTCATTCGCCCATCCTCCTTCCATCCTACCTTCTGTTCACTCACCCACCCATCTCCCATCCACCCCCAATGCATTAATTCATCCATCTTCCATCCATCCTTCTGTTCTTTCACCCATCCTTCGTCCATCTATCTGTCCGTTCATTCACCTACCCATAATCCATCCATTCATTCAGTCATCCATCTTCCATCCATCCTTTCATTCATTCACGCATCCATTGTCCATCCATCCTTTCAATAAATCAGTCATCCATCTTCCATCCACCCTTCCATTCATCACCCATCCATCATCCATCCAACCTCCTGTTTATTCAGTCTCCCGTCTTCTCTGCTTCTTCATTCCAAAATTCATCAATCCATGTTCATTTATATAGTTTTTCAAACAGTGCTCAAAGTCAAGCATGGTTTGTCAACTTTCAAATAATATATAAGGAAATGTGTGACAAATAACAACCTTTTACTGTGTGAAAAATTCTTGTAGGCGAAGTCTGTAAAAAAATCCAATAATCACCCATGGCGTTCAATCAGCTCTCCTTGGGCCTTGACCTCACCCTGCTGAGGCTGCCTAAGATTACCTGACTGACGAGAGATGCTTTGACCTCCTAGAGAACACACATGTGCCTGGATCCATTCCACCCCACCAATAACATACAAAAAAGAGAACGTGAAGCCCAGACCAATGAACTATTCACACCCAATCAGAAAACAACTATGCTACATCAACAGTTTTTTACAGAATCAAACTTCAACTCAACAAAGGCAGGCCTGAGTTTCATAATAGACACATGAACAAAAAAAGAAATCCACACACTCAGACCACAAGGAAAAATACAAATAAAATGAAAACTCAAAGTAATATGTCCCCACTAACTCGACTGGTTTTACACAAGTGTTCTACAATGAGAATTACCTAGGGGGAAGTGCATGACATAGAATTTGAAAGAACAATCATAAACACGATTAAATAAGTCAAAGAATTTAAAGAACACATAATCAACTTAGGAAACTCAAAGAGGATAGGGTTAACCCCCTACATGAAGCTCAGGAAAATAAAATATATTACTGAATAAAATGACAAACACAATTCAGGAGCTGAAAAGCAAACTCACAAAAGAGATAGAAATACTGAAGAAAACGCAAGCCAAAATGGAGATGGAATTGAAAAACTCAATAAGCCATTTTGAAATGGCAGGAGAAAGCCTCAGAATGAATGAAATGGAAAAAGAGTATCAAGACTGGATGATAAAATTAAATAATTCTAGTAAATTACCACTCTAGTAAAGATTAGGAAAAACTTTAAAAATGTAGGAATGGAATATATAGGAAATGTGAGACACCATAAAAAGACCATATTTCTGCATTGTAGCAATAGAGGAAGGAGAAAAGTCCTAGGTCATTGTCATTAACCAGATCTTCAACAGGGCTACAGAAGAAAATTTAATGTAATTAATGAAAGACAAACTCAAGCAGATAAAAGCAGCACACAGAACACCAGATAGACAGGAGAACAGAACTCCACAAGGGATTTCATAGCAAAAATACTTAATGCCCAGAATGAAGAGTGAATACTGAAAGCTGAAATACAAAAACAAGTCACTTATAAAGGAAAATCAATTAGAATTACAGTTGACCTCTCAATGTAAACTTTTAATGCCAGAAGAGCTTGTACCAAGGTATTCCAAATTCTAAATGACAATAGATGCCAACCCAGAATAATTTACCCAGTAGAACTGCCTATCATAATCTGGGCATAGCTGGGTGGGGTGGAGCTACTCTTTGATCAGGTTGGAAGGTAGGTTAGGGTGGCATTTCAAGGTTTGGGGTGAAGAGAGCTCAGATGGTAGGGGAGAAGGAGTTATCAGGGAATGAATTACAAGCCCCAAGTCTGGGTCAGGGGAGAAGGACAGACACCCAGGCTGGGATTGACTCACTCTGCAAAGGTGAGGTGTGTGCTGATCCAGGATGGGATAGGATCCATGTGACCCAGGGAAATATTGGAGCTACGATGACAGGTACTAGGGAGTCTCAGGGAATAAGCTCCAAGCCCCAAATCTGAGGGGACGAGGATCTCAGGAGATCCAGTCTGTGATGAGAACTGAGATGGTGTGGATAGACTCACTCTGCCAAGACATGGTACATGGTGATCAGTGATGGGACAGGATGACTGTGACCCAAGGAAGTCTGAGAGCTAAGATGGTGGGATGTTAGAGAGATACAGGTATGAAGATCCAATCCACAAGTTTTGGAGGAGGTGGTATGCCCAGACCCAGGCTGAGCTGATCATTGACAAGATTATTGCTTTATTTATAAAATGTAGCAACATTAGTTATCTCTACAATAGGATCAAGTGAATCCAAGAATTTCTGGGAGGCAGGTGGGGTGTGCAAATGACTGTCCACCAAGGGCCTGTTGTGTCCCTGGGTGACTCTCCATTGGGTATTGAGTCAGAGGCTTCCAGGATGGTGGACGCCAGGGCAGGGTGCTCGCTGGACTCATCTTGGGCTTCTCTGATTTGTCATCTTGAGGTACAGCTGTCACTCTCTTGATGTCATGAGGTTCTTCTGAGCCTGGCTCTGTGTTGTCATGCACAGTTGGGCATAGGTCACATCCAGGGACCCACAGACTCAGCAGCCTGGATTGGGAGAGCATGAGAGGAAGATGGTGCCTGGTGTTGGTAGCCACGGGGAGGGGGAGAGACATGAACCACCTCACTGCCCATCTCTCTGTCTTCCCTTGAATTAATTTTTCTTGACAATGTAGAAAGAGAGGTGTCCCCTCCCTTCCTGAGGCTGGAGGGTTTCACCTGCACAAACATCTCTTTCATGGGGTCTTCATCAGGGCGTCCTGCAGCAGGGAGACAGTGAGATGGAGAGCATGT